AGAGGTGACTGTGTAGTTCCCCTAAGGAAAAGCACCTTTAGTAAATCTGCTTTTTCTGTGAGAGCTTCCCATGTCTGGAATACACTGCCATCAGACACACACAACTGCACCACATATCACACTTTCACAAAATGCTTGAAGACATGGCTAAAGGTCAATCAGATTTGTGAACATGGTCCCTAGCTGTGTGTTGCCGCTTTCCATGTCTGTTGTCTGTAACTTGTGAGGTGTGGAAACATTTTGTTGCTTTTATGAATTTTGTCTTGCTGCTTTTTGTTCTATGTTGCTCGGTCTGTATGCTACGTCTTGTTTGTCCTATGTTGCTATGTCTGTATGCTATGTCTTGTTCTATGTTGTTATTGTCTATATTGTAATTGTTTTTAATAACCTGCCCAGGGACTGCGGTTGAAAATTAGCCGGCTGGCTAAAACCGGCACTTTTACTGAAACGTTGATTAATGTGCACTGTCCCTGTAAAAATAAACTCAAACTCAAACTCAACTCAAATAAATAACATGTTATATAATATAATAAGCCATTTAGCAGACGCTTTTATCCAAAGCGACTTACAGTCATGTGCGCATACATTTTTACGTATGGGTGGTCCCGGGGATCGAACCCACTACCCTGGCGTTACAAGCGCCGTGCTCTACCAGCTGAGCTACAGGTGGTCCCGGGGATCGAACCCACTACCTTGGCGTTCCAAGCACCGTGCTCTACCAGCTGAGCTACAGAGGAACAACCGCCTAATTATTTTAACAACATTCTCATAAAATCCAACTAAAATGATTTATGTTGTCTGATGGAGTCGCCATAAATCATTTTAGTTGGATTTTATGAAAAATGTTGTAAAAAATTTGACTGTTGTTCCTTTACATGGTGTGATAGGCCAAAGTATCAGCTATCAAATTAATAACATTTTGTTAATATTAAGACAAATATTTGTGGGAAGAATGTTGAGATTGTCCTGTCTTTTCAACAATCCCTGAGCTCTAAATCAGCCTCTTGGCAAAATGTGTAAAATAGCATGAGATTAGCTACAATCATTTTCTTCTACACTTTCCAAGCCAACAGATTGCATAATGACCATCGCTATAACAGTCATCAGAGCTGGAAACGCTATTTCCCCAGTGACTCACAGTAACAGTACTGGAGATATATGAGTCTTGGAAACTCCTTTATTTCAGAACAGTATAGGGAGTGCTATATAATGTAGAATTACATTCATAGAACATAGAAACATCACACAGGTGAGATAGTGAACAGTATATGCATTGTACGGTACTAAAGAAGAAAGGCTACACTACTTGTCATTTCTTTGCACCAGATTCAACAGAAACAGCTGTTTGTGACTGTGACAACATCTGTGACACAGAAAGAAATGGAACATTCTCGGGCGTCAAACCCTCTGTGACAAACGGTTGTGTTTGCAGAGACCTGAGCAGAGGAGAGGGGTGGATTGGGTTGTGGTGAGAGGGAAGGTCACATGTTTGGTGTTTCTCATCATCCTGCTGTGCTTCAGCGCTCAGGGTGTTCTCTCTCTCTCTCTCTCTCTCTCTCTCTCTCTCTCTCTCTCTCTCTCTCTCACCACATCCTCTCATCGGCTGTTTCTCTCTCTCTCTCTCCACCTCCACCCCCCACAGAGCTGCAGGCCTCCAGGGCTCAGTTTCACCCCAACCACTAACACAACTTCCTGTCACCCTGCTGTTCATCCATTGCCCACCCACTCGCATCATATTATGTGCCTTTTGCAACAAGTAGCAGTCAAATATAATAATTTACGGTGCAGCCATTAGGTTATTCTTCGTAACATATGTTCAACATGATTTCAGACATCAACTCAAAGTTTTGAACTGTTGTGAATGTAGATACATACTCAGAGCAGAAAGATAAGGTCTGACCCAGATGAACCCACATACAGTGGCATAGTATTGGTTACCATAGTAATACCATAGTATTGGTTACCATAGTAATACCATAGTATTGGTTACCATAGTAATACCATAGTATTGGTTACCATAGTAATACCATATTATTGGTTACCATAGTAATACCATAGTATTGGTTACCATAGTAATACCATAGTATTGATTACCATAGTAATACCAACCCACATACATTGCCTTCAGAAAGTATTCACACCCTTTGACTTTTTCCACATTTTGTTGTTGTTACAGCCTGATTTCAAAATAGATTAAATTGAGATTTTGTGTCACTGGCCTACACACAATACCCCATAATGTCAAAGTGGAATTATGTTTTTTGAAATGTTCACAAATTAATACAAAATGAGAAGTTCAGGAGGAAATAAAGAAGTAAAATGTACTTAACACTGTGTGCAATAATAGTGTTTAATTTGATTTTTGAATGACTACCTCATCTCTCTACCCCACACATATAATTATCTGTAAGGTCCCTCAGTCGAGCAGTGAATTTCCACAGATTCAACCACAAAGACCAGGGAGGTTTTCCAATGCATCGCAAAGAAGGGCCCCTATTGGTAGATGGGTAAAAATAAATAAAAATAAAAGCAGACATTGAATATCCCTTTAAGAATGGTGAACTTATTAATTACACTTTGGATGGTATATCAATACACCCAGTCACTACAAAGATACAGGCGTCCTTCCTAACTCAGTTGCCGGAGAGGAAGGAAACCGCTCAGGGATTTCACCATGAGGTCAATGGTGACTTTAAAACAGTTACAGAGTTAAATGGCTGTGATAGGAGAAAACTGAGGATGGATCAACAACATTGTAGTTACTCCACAATACTAACCTAATTGACAGAGTGAAAAGAAGGAAGCCTGTACAGAATAAAAATATTCCAAAACATGCATCCTGTTTGCAATAAGGCACTAAAGTAAAACTGCAAAAAATGTGGCAAAGAAATTAACTTTATGTCCTGAATACAAAGTGTTATGTTTTGGGCAAATCCAACACAACACATCACTGAGTACCACTCTTCATATTTTCAAGCATGGTGGTGGCTGCATCATGTTATGGATATGCTTGTCATCAGCAACTTCTAGGGAGTTTTTTAGGATAAAAAGAAATGGAATAGAGCTAAGCACAGGCAAAATCCTAGAGGAAAACCTGGTTCAGTCTGCTTTCCAACAGACACTGGGAGACAAATTCACCTTTCAGCAGGACAATAACCTAAAACACAAGGCCAAATATACACTGGAGTTGCTTACCAAGACGACATTGAATATTCCTAAGTGGCCTAGTTACAGTTTTGACTTAAATTGGCATGAAAATCTATGGCAAGAGTGATTCACAACCAACTTTGACAGAGCTTGAAGAATTTAAAAAAGAATAATGGGCAAATGTTGCACAATCCAGGTGTGGAAAGATCTTAGAGACTTACCCAGAAAGACTCGCCGCCAAAGGTGATTCTTACATGTATTGACTCATGGGTGTGAATACTCATGTAAATTAGATAATTCTGTATTTCATTTACAATACATTTGCACAAATTTCTAAAAACATGTTTTCACTTTGTCGTTATGGGGTACTGTGTGTAAAAAATATATATATTTAATCTATTTTGAATTCAGGCTGTAACAACACAATTTGGAATAATAATGAATACTTTCTGAAGGCACTGTATAACTAGTCCAACTGAGCGTAGGTAGGCCTGAGACCATGATGCACTGCAGCGGTGCAGAGTGTCATGGAAACTTCCTCTCTGTGTGGGCAGGAAGCAGGATGCTGTGGTGTTTCTCAGAAACAGGCGTGATACACACATCAGAATGAAAACACCACAATATACTCCCTTGATGGAAAGAAGACAAGCTACATTTGAAATCGAGACTCTAGAGAGTTTCTGCTCCCGAAGAGCACAAACATATCAAATCAAATCAAATTTTATTTGCCACATGCGCCGAATACAACAGTGAAATGATGACTTACAATCTATCTACCATGTCTTGTGTTTATTTCAAGTGAAGTTATATCCTGTATCTGGGGTAATCTAACAAACAGTGTATCATGTTCGGTAATCTCCCACATGCTGGTGGGATTGTAAAAAAGGATTGCGTGCTGTTATAAGTAAAAAGAGCTTGATAATGACTCTGTATTTGATTTCTGAAATGAGCTCTTTGAGGGAAATGTTTGAGTCTTCACCTTCACGTCAGTCATAATGAGGCACTCAAGGTTTCAACATTACTAACTTCTCTTAGGTGAAAATAAGTTTCAGACAAAACATTCACATTTCCACCTTTATTATTGAGTAACAAGTGAGTATATAGTAACAATCGATGATCGAAATCCTCCAAATGTATTTTAGAAAGCTCTTTTTTACTATAGCAGTTGTCACAAAGTGCTAAAGGAAAGTGTTTACTGATAACGCAGGCTGATAAAATGACCCTTGAGCAGACTTATGATATGTGCACATTATTGAAGGTGTTATTCAGAAGTGAAAACATTGACATTGGAAAGCAAAATGTATTTATACTGTACACTGCTGTAATTCCTGCAACAAACATAATGCAAGAATGAACATAAATGTTGTTTTCGTAAGTTAATGGATAATTGTATTTTTTTGTCACACTTAACTCATATACACTGAGTGTACAAAACATTATGAAACCCTGCTCTTCCCATGACATTGACTGACCAGGTGAATCCAGGTGAGAGCTATGATCCCTTAATGATGTCACTTGTTAAATCCACTTCAATCAGTGTAGATGAAGGGGAGGAGACGGGTTAAAGAAGGATTTTTAAGCCTTGAGACAATTGAGACATTGATTGTGTGTGTGCCATTCAACTCAATATTAGGAAGGCGTTCTTAATGTTTTGTACACTGTGCAAACATTAATTGCAAGACTATGTTTATTGGAGATTATAAAAAACATCCTCACATGTATAGTAACTGACAGATAATAGACAGCACACCGAAAATTGTAATCACATGAAAGACATGGGTATGTGCTTTGTCCCAAATGGCTCCCTATTCCCTATATAGTGCACTACTTTAGACCAGAGAATGGCACCCTATTCCCTATATAGTGCACTACTTTTCACCAGAGCCTTATGCGCACACATGACGACCTCCAGTCCACTGAGCTCAGCTTCCACGGGTGGCTGGGTCTCGGTCAGTGATCAATTACATCTGTTTATCTGAGGAGAGCTGAATGAGACACAGAGATACAGGATAAAGACAGTATGGTGCCATTTTAGAAACGTTGTTAGCACAAAGCTAGCCTGGTTCCGGATCTGTTTGTGCTGTCCTGCCAACTCCTACAGTGTATCATTGTCACGCCGACCATAAGAGTTGGCAAGACAGCACAAACATATCTGGGACTCATCTAAGCACAAGGCATAGATTGAGGAAGAGAGAGAGGGGTGAGTGGATGTCCCTCGTCATAGTTGCAGTGAACTCACCTGAAGCTTCCAAATCAGAACCATGACGACCAGTCCATAGAAGGTACTCTTAGCGATGAAGACGCTGTAGGCCAGCTTGGCAATCAGGGTGCTGTTCACGTAGTACTCTGCAAGGAAAATAATACATTTAAATGACCTTGATTAAGAGGGCGTCAGGTAATATCGTTCCGCGGATTACGCATTAATAAATGTGATGGTATTGTAAACAGTATTAACTAGCAAGGGAAATAATACATTTAAATGACCTTGATTAAGAGGGCGTCAGGTAATATCATTCCGCGGATTACGCATGAATAAATGTGATAGTATTGTAAACAGTATTAACTATAGGTTATATGTATACCATGTATTTGTCACGAACAATAATTCGCTCAGTCTAGAATGGGAAAATGTACCTGCAGTCATCCCACCCTCACCACCTGGACCTGAAAGAAACAAAGGAGGGTTTTAGATGACACAGGCTAGTGTACATCATAGTTCTACACAGGCTAGTGTACATCATAGTTCTACACAGGCTAGTGTACATCATAGAGCTACACATGCTAGTGTACATCATAGTTCTACACAGGCTAGTGTACATCATAGAGCTACACAGGCTAGTGTACATCATAGAGCTACACAGGCTAGTGTACATCATAGAGCTACACAGGCTAGTGTACATCATAGAGCTACACAGGCTAGTGTACATCATAGTTCTACACAGGCTAGGGTACATCATAGAGCTACACAGGCTAGTGTACGTCATAGAGCTACACAGGCTAGTGTACATCATAGAGCTACACAGGCTAGTGTACATCATAGTTCTACACAGGCTAGTGTACATCATAGTTCTACACAGGCTAGTGTACATCATAGTTCTACACAGGCTAGTGTACATCATAGTTCTACACAGGCTAGTGTACATCATAGTTCTACACAGGCTAGTGTACATCATAGTTCTACACAGGCTAGGGTACATCATAGAGCTACACAGGCTAGTGTACATCATAGAGCTACACAGGCTAGTGTACATCATAGAGCTACACAGGCTAGTGTACATCATAGTTCTACACAGGCTAGTGTACATCATAGTTCTACACAGGCTAGTGTACATCATAGAGCTACACAGGCTAGTGTACATCATAGAGCTACACAGGCTAGTGTACATCATATAGCTACACAGGCTAGTGTACATCATAGAGCTACACAGGCTAGTGTACATCATAGAGCTACACAGGCTAGTGTACATCATAGAGCTACACAGGCTAGTGTACATCAGAGAGCTACACAGGCTAGTGTACATCATAGAGCTACACAGGCTAGTGTACATCATAGTTCTACACAGGCTAGTGTACATCATAGTTCTACACAGGCTAGTGTACATCATAGTTCTACACAGGCTAGTGTACATCATAGTTCTACATAGTCCAATGCTACAGAGAAGCGTACTACTTGACTAACCACTTCACTAGAAAATGCCCAAAAAAAAAGAGAATCATACTATTGTAGTTCAACGAAACCTGTTTCTTCTCATAAACAAAGACAAGAGTTTTAGTTCATAATTTGGCAATACCTTCTTCTCCGTTAATGTGATCTGTCTTCTCTATGTAAACGGTCCCATTGAAGAACTCGACGATGCAGGTGAATTTGTTGGAGGGCTTGTTCCAGTCCTTGGCTGGGACTCTCAGTCTGCTGGTGATACTGTAGAATATCCCACCTTTATCCCTCAAGGCCTTGTTGTCGGTCCCCACTCCATCAGTGATGGCGCCTCCATTAAACTGCCAGGACACAGTGACATGGTCGGGGTAGAAGTCGGTGGCCACACACACCAGAGTCTTCTTCTTCTTCTTGTTTCTAGCCTCACACTCCTTCGTGGAGGGTGGAAGGACTTTCACTGTGGGTTTAGTGACAGTGATGTTTGGGTCTGCAGGGAGGAAATAAAAGAAGGTTTAACCTTTAACAATCAATCAATGGCTCTGTTTGTTGTTGACATCACACCTGAACCATACATAAATGCCACCTATAAAATGGTCCTGTCTTTCTCCTTCTATAAACTGGTCCTGTCTTTCTCCTTCTATAAACTGGTCCTGTCTTTCTCCTTCTATAAACTGGTCCTGTCTTTCTCCTTCTATAAACTGGTCCTGTCTTTCTCCTTCTATAAACTGGTCCTGTCTTTCTCCTTCTATAAACTGGTCCTGTCTTTCTCGTTCTATAAAACTGGTCCTGTCTTTCTCCTTCTATAAACTGGTCCTGTCTTTTTCTCCTTCTATAAACTGGTCTGTCTTTCTCCTTCTATAAACTGGTCCTGTCTTTCTCCTTCTATAAACTGGTCCTGTCTTTCTCCTTCTATAAACTGGTCCTGTCTTTCTCCTTCTATAAACTGGTCCTGTCTTTCTCCTTCTATAATCTGGTCCTGTCTTTCTCCTTCTATAAACTGGTCCTGTCTTTCTCCTTCTATAAACTGGTCCTGTCTTTCTCCTTCTATAAACGGTCCTGTCTTTCTCCTTCTATAATCTGGTCCTGTCTTTCTCCTTCTATAAACTGGTCCTGTCTTTCTCCTTCTATAAACTGGTCCTGTCGTTTCTCCTTCTATAAACTGGTCCTGTCTTTCCTCCTTCTATAAAATGGTCCTGTCTTTCTCCTTCTATAAAACTGGTCCTGTCTTTCTCGTTCTATAAACTGGTCCTGTCTTCTCCTTCTATAAACTGGTCCTGTCTTTCTCCTTCTATAAACTGGTTCCTGTCTTCTCCTTCTATAAACTGGTCCTGTCTTCTCCTTCTATAAACTGGTCCTGTCTTCTCCTTCTATAAACTGTCGTCTTCTCCTTCTATAAACTGGTCCTGTCTTTCTCCTTCTATAATCTGGTCCTGTCTTTCTCCTTCTATAAACTGGTCCTGTCTTTCTCCTTCTATAAACTGGTCCTGTCTTTCTCCTTCTATAAACTGGTCCTGTCTTTCTCCTTCTATAAACTGGTCCTGTCTTTCTCCTTCTATAAACTGGTCCCGTCTTTCTCATTCTTGACAGTAAACGTCAAGGCAACATGAACCACCAAATTCTGTGTCCAGACAAGCACATAACAACACAGCATTTCATTCAGCAGCTCAGAGTGAACCACTTTGTGACCAGCTGCCAAAGGCATTGTCAAGACCGTAGAACATGAAAGCTGTAACATGTGATTATCACAGTATTTTTAAAGCATTCTTACGGTATCCTTACCCAGAACTGTTAGCTTCGTTCCCTCTCCAAAGTAGGCAGCATAACCACCAGAGCACACCACATACTCACAGACAGAAAACCAGGCTGATGCTAGCTAGCAAGTACTGTATTTCAAAGGGGGTAATACTGTATTTGCTGTAGTTTGTCTTTAGCAAAGGGGGTAATACTGTATTTCAAAGCATGTTTATGTCGACAGAGCTGAACTCACTTTCTCCGTTGGCTCTATTCAAGGGACTGAAACAAACCTATGTATTTTCCCCTCCTGAATATTTGCACGCTCAACTAATGTACCAAAGCGATCAACTAGAATTCAATCCATTATTACAAATGATTTCAATATTGTGTATAAATACTTTAAAGAGGCGAATCTCTTACCTAGAACAGTGAGTCTGGTTCCTGGACCAAACTCTGCCTTATCCGTGTTCCACAGTGAGACAGCATACTACACACGACAGGCTCTGGATCATGACCCAGTTCTGCCACAGTTCTACTACTTTCCTTGGTCTGAACTATTAAATGGTTTCTTCAAACTGATGTAACACCATATAGATTCATGCAAACCAACGTCTCGGGAGGAGGATTTTCAACATTCTTTTACACGTATCTATCAAAAAAAATAGATCTGGTTCACACGTGTTTAGAAATAAGCCAAAGTCTCTGTCATGAACAGAGACATCTCTATATGGGTCGTACATCTATAAGCGTCTATGCACATTTAATCGTCAGGTTTCTCAGCCAGAAGTGTGAGTTTGGTGCCGCTGCTGAGGTATGCCCGGTTGTAGTTGACGCTGGTACTCGGCTACAGAAAGATCCCTCCTCTCACCACTCTGGCAGAGTCTGGCTAAATACACCCTAATGTGCTGCTGTTACAATGGTTTTGGTGCTATTCTATGAAACATTTCTACATCACGAGATAAATGACACCTACAGCATCAGATCAAATCATCATCGTTGTTTTTTTTGCCTTACCTTAGACTGTTGTTTTTAGCCTTACCTTAGACTGTTGTTTTTTGCCTTACCTTAGACTGTTGTTTTTTGCCTTACCTTAGACTGTTGTTTTTTGCCTTACCTTAGACTGTTGTTTTTTGCCTTTCCTTAGACTGTTGTTTTTTGCCTTACCTTAGACTGTTGTTTTTTGCCTTACCTTAGACTGTTGTTTTTTGCCTTACCTTAGACTGTTGTTTTTTGCCTTACCTTAGACTGTTGTTTTTTTGCCTTTCCTTAGACTGTTGTTTTTTGTATTTTTTCTTCTTTAGGAGGTAGATCAGCTTTAATATTGTAGATGGATTGTAACTTCCATCAATGTAATTGTCTGCATCACTTTCAATCCCCCATATGTTTTTTTTCTCTCACATATATATATATATATACATACATATCCTTTAAAAATATATATATTTCCCTTTATTACTTTCCAACCCCACCACCCCTTCCCTAATTGGAGTAAACTAGTGAACAACAATGCTTAGGCCTCTACTTCCAGCTTATACATACTATATACATTTTATGGACACAGTCAATAATTATATTTTGTTTGTTTTTACTCCTGAACTTCCTCCGATCATTTTCGCATGTCTTACACTAGTTATCTTGTTGTACCTTAGACTGTTCCGTCTTGTTCTATTGCCATAGTAAGCCTGTGTGTTGAATCTCACCGCTCCTAACAGAGCTGATAACTAGAACCATGAGAGCTGTAGACTGGGTCTGGGCATGGAGCCAGACCACTTTATACCTCAATACCATGTTAGGGGAACATAACTGATGCTTTTACTGCCATCCAGTTACATTAAAATATACTCTCTTAGTTAAAAAAACAAACAGATTAAGATGTATAGTAAAATTATATGGTTTTATGTTGCAGAATATTTTACGTTTTGTCCATGCTATTCCCTTATGTACATTTGTACTAACATTCGGTAGTAGATTTTCTTACCTAAAACGGTGAGTTTGGTGCCGGCTCCAAAGTATGCTTCCGAGTATGAACACAGAGCGACGAGGCTGTATCATAAAGTATCCAGCTCTGACTGGGACTCTGGACTTTCTCAACCTTTGTTACTCTGTTACAAGGACATTCAAATACTCTTCACAGTAACTCAGATACAGGTATCATCTAAATCATAACCAAATACATTATTTTGACTATTTTTCTATTGAAATATAAGTCCTTTCCACCTACAGCAGTCATTAGGACACATTTCATGCCACATAAGATCAACTATTATTTATATTATTAACTAAACACTGTAACCTACAGATTCTAGAATACCAACCACACACTGTAACCTACAGATTCTAGAATACCAACCACACACTGTAACCTACAGATTCTAGAATACCAACCACACACTGTAACCTACAGATTCTAGAATACCAGCCACACACTGTAACCTACAGATTCTAGAATACCAACCACACACTGTAACCTACAGATTCTAGAATACCAACCACACACTGTAACCTACAGATTCTAGAATACCAGCCACACACTGTAACCTACAGATTCTAGAATACCAGCCACACACTGTAACCTACAGATTCTAGAATACCAACCACACACTGTAACCTACAGATTCTAGAATACCAACTAAACACTGTAACCTACAGATTCCAGCCATGAGATTTAAAGATGCACAAATCACATGGATTATTAATCCCAATCAGGTGTGAACATGATTTTATTTTGGTGTAATTTCTCACCTAGAACAGTTAACCTGGTTCCTCCACCGAAGTAAGCCTGGCCGACACCACCAGCACAGTGGATTTACTCAACCTTTATGTGACCACATAAGGAGGACATTCAAAGACACTACACAGTCATTCTGTTACAGTACATTTCTCTAAAAATCATACAACCACATACATCATAAACACATAGATTACTGCACTTTTTTTGGTGTCATTTCTTACCTAGAACCGTTAACCCGGTTCCTCCACCGAAGTAAGCCTGGCCGGCACCACCAGCACAGTGGAGCACTGCTCTAATACAGATATAGTCTCCAGCAAATGCTTTTGTCTAGAACTTTCCATCCCAATCATGACCTTTGATAACTCTATTCTCCTAATACCAACCAACACCATGTTCTTACCAGTTTAGAACACATATAGGGTGAGACAAACACACTATAATATAATACGATATCGAAACTCTCTTCTCACAAGTATGTTGTCTAACTCAAACTACACATAGGTCAAACATAGTATATGGATTACTTACCGAGAACTGTTAATTTGGTGCCTGCTCCAAAATATGCCTCATAGTTGGCACAGTGCACAGGCTTAACATCAAAAAGCATTGAGTGGAGTAACACTAGTGTGCAACTAATCTAATGTACTGAATCCATAATGAACTAAATCCTCACATCACTATACTACTAGACCACAAATAGTAGACCACATGGTCAACACTACTAGACCACATGGTCAACATTCTCTTACCCAGAACAGTCAGTTTGGTTCCCGCTCCGAAGAACGCAGGATCATAGTTGTCACAGCGAAGACATACTGAGCAGTAATCATCCCAACCACTACTGCCTTGTTCTATGCATTTGGCATCAGAAATACTTTAGTAATACTTGCTTTTTTGTCAATCATCCATGTTTTTGTAAAGAAATAATGTTCAAAATCATCAATTACATGATAAGGAAGTAGAAAGTATTTACCTAAAACAGTGAGTTTGGTTCCATTGCCAAAGAAGGCAGGTTGGGTTGAAGTCACAGTGGTCCTCTGTAGCTCAGCTGGTAGAGCACGGCGCTTGTAACGCCAAGGTAGTGGGTTCGATCCCCGGGACCACCCATACACAAAAAAAAATGTATGCACGCATGACTGTAAGTCGCTTTGGATAAAAGCGTCTGCTAAATGGCATATTATTATTATATTATTTACAGTGTTTTCACAACAACCCTTTAGTTCAGCTTGACCACGGACATTTTATGATCCTCTTATTGGCAACGAAACATCTTCAGGGTTACATATTTATATATTATGAATCTTTAAGAAGTGAACTTACCTAAAACAGTGAGCTTTGTTCCATTTCCAAAGTAGGCCACACTTCCAGTGTCACATCGCTACTCTCCTATTCCAAAAATACCTCAGATATCTTTGTCATTCACCCTCGGGGGAATATGAACAGAGATACTCAGAGATACAGATAATACGTCAGATATCTTTGTCATTCACCCTCTAGGGAATATGAAAATCCTGTTCAGTATTATTGAGCTCTTCAGCAGCATCTCTCCAGGCTCCTTAACAGTCTCCTCAATGTGTGTGAATGGGCCCCAGCCCTCTCCTGAATGGAAGTGAATGGGAGGAGGTTTTTGAATTGAAGTGAATGGAAGGAGGTTTTTGTATGGAAGTGAATGGGAGGAGATTTTTGTATTGAAGTGAATGGGATGAGGTTTTTATTTGAAAGTGAATGGGAGGAGATTTTGCATGGATGTGAAGTTTTGCATGGATGTGAAGTTTTTGTATGGAAGTGAATGGGGGGAAGTTTTTGTATGGAAGTGAATGGGAGGAGGTTTTGTATGGAAGTGAATGGGAGGAGGTTTTTGTATGGAAGTGAATGGGATGTTTTTGAACGGAAGTGAATGGGAGGAGGTTTTTGCATGGAAATGAATGTGATGAGATTTTTATACGGAAGTGAATGGGAGGAGGTTTTTGTACAGAAATCAATAAGAGGAGGTTTTTATGTGGAAGTGAATGGGAGGATGTTCTGTATGGAAGTGAATGGGAAGATGTTCTGTATGGAAGTGAATGGGAGGATGTTCTGTATGGAAGTGAATGGGAAGAGATTTATGTACGGAAGTGAATGGGAGGAGGTTTTGTATGGAAGTGAATGGGAGGAGGTTTTGTATGGAAGTGAATGGGAGGATGTTCTGTATGGAAGTGAATGGGAAGAGATTTATGTACGGAAGTGAATGGGAGGAGGTTTTGTATGGAAGTGAATGGGAGGAGGTTTTGTATGGAAGTGAATGGGACAAGGTTTTTGTATGGAAGTGAATGATAAGAAGGTTTTTGTATGGAAGTGAATGGGAGGAGGTTTTTGTATGGAAGAGAATGGGAGGAGGTTTTGCACGGAAGTGAATGGGAGGA